TTGCACTACTTACTAAACTACCGCAAAATCCATATGATAAGAGATTAACTGAGAGTTCGAAGATGTACTGAGTATATTTCAATATTTAGAAAGAATGACACGAATATTACTTATGGGGTTTAGATAGATAAAAATATGATTCTTTTTTTCCTGGACAAAAAAGTGACCTTATAGGCTTCCACCCTACGAATTGAACGTCCCCAGAGACATGGGTACGTACGTCTCCAAAGCTCATTCAATTTGGGGTGGCTAAATGCGAGACGGCCCATAGTGGGAGCGAGGGGGACGCTCGGCCTCATGACACCAGCCCACTTGAGATCGGGCGGAACGGAGAAGGCAATCTTAAGAGGACACTCGTCCCCATGGACCCATGATATGTCGACGGGTCATATTTTTTGAATTTTGAAAAAGATGTCACATTTTTGTCTTAACTTTTTTTAGTAATATCCAGGCCAAAAGGGCCCGATATTTATTTACTCAATAAAAAGGCCCAATATTTATTTACTCATAAAATTAACAATGCATGAAGGGTTCTTGTTGTGCCAAGCCGGCGGCGGCTCCACATGCCGCACCAGAAGCACCGAAAAAGGCACCAGAATCACCACACAAGGTTGTTGCGCCACCTCCAGCCCCTCTGCCTCCGCAGCCACACAATGCAGGAGTTGTGGCACGTCAGCCGCAGCCGCTATGGCCGCACATGCAAGAAATTGTGCCCGCACCGCACGGTGCTATGCAATTTGATGCACGCCGCCATCACAGCCAGCCCTTCCACCTAAGAGCTCCGCCGGCGCACGTGAGAGGCCACTGGGACGGTGCCGTAGAGCATCTTTCGAGGATTCCGAGGGTTGACAACATTGAGATGACCCTAGCAAGGGGCTACAGGCTGAATTTCCGGGATTACCCCCCTGATTTCTGTCACGACTATTCTCATTATAATTACCGGCCGCCGCATGATTATTGTCCTCCTCTTCCAGCACCGCCACCAGTGCAATGCCACCCCCACCACTACCAAGAACTCCGCCACTACAACTATGCACTGCCGGCGCTGGATCACCATGACCACCATCATGGACCGCCTCCGCCACCACATGGTTATTGCCAGTACAACTACTTTAGTGATGAGAATCCTAACGGGTGTACCGTTATGTGATCACCTGATATTTATTTGCTACTTATATTCTTTAATTTGATCATTCATTTCATATACGTAGTATGTTACTCTGAATGTATTCTACCATTTTTCTCTTTTTTCTTTTTTCTCTTTTTTCTTTTTGCAATCAATGATTAAATAGATATGTAAGTATATAGGTATATATACTCCCTCGGTTCTTTTTCTTTAATTTTATAGTTACTCCATCTGTTCTTTAATACTACCTCCGTCCCAAAAAGAGATGCAAATTTGACTTTTCTTAGTCAAATTGTCTCGTTTTGTTCACTTAATTTGAATGTCAATTTTTAATTATGTTCTAATTTGGAGTTTACAACTTTGAAGATATTTTAATGTAGTTTATGAATATGTAAATTTTAATTATTGAAAATTGAATTAATTATCCATAAGGAGGGTTGACTTTTATTTTTGGTTGACCAAAAAATGTTGACTTTGCAAAACAAATTGGGACGGAGGGAGTACTGCGTACGTAGTAATTCTCTTATTCCATTTTAATATGTTTTTTATTTATTGTCTTTCTTTCCATTTTAGGAAAGATTTTGAGATAAATAGCCCACTTTTATTAATTCTACCCCTTTTACTTTTTACATACTACTTTCACTTTTCTACTATATCATCACTTTACTCTTCTTTCTTACTCGGGGCCGTTTTTTTGAGGCCCCAAAATTTTAAAGTTCTTTTAGTACTATATAATATGAAGTAATATTATATATTAATATTAATCAGTAAAATACATTTAATACAACAATAACATTCAAGTCTTAGTCCTAAAAGATATTGAGGTCAGCTAACATGAATCAATACCAAAAGGAAATCAAAAGAAAGAAAATAAAGATAAAAAAGATAATCTATTATAGAAAAGATGATATAAAAAGAGATGAATATAAGTACTTGGATTGATATTTTTTCAATTTTTTTTATATTCATGCGGGGCTTTGATTTTATATTTAGAACCAGGGTCTCGAAATTCATTAGACGACCTTGTTCCTACTTTATCATTACTTTACTCTTTTTAATATATTCTCTTTCCTACTTTATCAATTACTCTACAAACACTATACTACTCCTATTTTTCTCATAAAAATCATGCTCAAGCCTAAAGGAACAGTTAATAAAGAACAGATGAAGTATTAGGGGAAAATTAAGAAAAGTGAGCTAGGCCGAGGACCAGCCCATTAGATAGCGGTCTCAAACTGGTTAGCAAGTCATGCCTCGATCAATTTTGTCTTAAACTGTTCAGCCGTTAGGGATAGGACCGAGCCTGAGACTAGCTGGTCCCGGTCTAAAAAGATCATCCGGGACCGGGTAACGTAACCGAGGTAGGGGGTCCTTGACCGGAACCAGAAAACCGCTCTTGTGCCGATCCCAAAAAGTGTCGGACCCGGTTTTATCCTTAAAATATAACTCGTAATAAATAAATTATTACACCAATTGAGACATATATATATATATATATATATATATATATATATATATATATATTCATTATTTTTATATTTTTGGGTGTACATATCAACACTTCTGCGATTCGCCACTCCGTCACCAGTACGTTCTCCATCAAAACTCACGTTGACGACTACCGTTACACTACGGCAGCCCATAAATTCGTGTAAAAAATTACAGAGTATATGAAAGATATAACAATACGAATATATATCTGAAATTCTGGAGGGCTCTAGTGTTTCGGCAGCAAGTTTGATTGCGGGTGATATTCGAGATATACGCTCTTGGTTTACAGACATCTTTTTTCATTATATTCGCCTATCTGCGAACAAAGTGGCTCATGAGCTAGCTAAAACCGCTTGTTCTATGTGAGATGGCCATTTGTGGTTGGGTTATGCTCCTAATTTTATCATTGATGTATTGAATGGTAATTTTATTAATGATATATAATTGAACTTGTTTCTGTCAAAAAAAGAAAAACAATGTATATGTATGTCTTTGGTTCTATCAAAGTGTGTGAGTGATCAAACCAAATGAAAGGGTACTATGCAATGTTTATTTATTCATACAAGAGTACCCTTTCATTTGGTTTGATCACTCACACACTTTGATAGAACCAAAGACATACATCGATACATATGCATATGTTCATAGCTACGCACATGAGAGGCACTATACAAAACAAGCGCCGCATGCTATAACAAAATGCATCTGATAATTATTTGGGAGGCGCTTATCCTGCTGAAGCGCCGCACGTTTACAATTTTCTGCAATTAGAGGCGTTTGTGCTTAAAAACGCCTCAAATGAAGCACCTCCTTTTGACGTTTTTCCACTAGTGACAAGTTGGGAAGGTGGTGTAATCCAATGGATGACCATCCACCCCCAAGTCTCTCTTTTGTGGAAGGTCTTGGGTTCAATTCCCACCAAGGAGAGATGATGAAGGTCTTGCTCCCAATGATTCTTTCTACCTTCACGGAGTTGCTCAGTGGCTGAGAAGGAAGAGGATGGTAATGAAGGTAGCGGGTTCGTGTGGTGGGAGGAGCAGCCTGAAAGGTGATGTAAGTCCTGCTGGATTCGTCCTTTGGAGCCAGTGCTGATGAGGCTGACTGTGATCAGAATTCGGATTTAACTGTCTAGGGGCTTTGGAGGGTAGTTCATAGACTCCAGGATTATGGGAGCGTAAGCCCCGATGCCTGGATTATCCAAAAAAAAGCTACACACAAGCAAAATATGACTTCCCACCGTGAGGTTAGCGAGTATTATTGCACGTACCATAGCTAGTATAGTAGCTGCAAATTCAGGGCCGGTCCTGGGGCATGGGTAAAGAGGGGCTTGCGCCCAGGGCTCATTGCTCCCCGGGCCCCATAAATTTTCCAGTTATGTAAGAGGAATATTTTGGTCGGTCCAAAACCGCCGTAAGGCCAATCTCATTTGAGAGCCTTTTGGGTTGACTTTTTAATGAAATTTTGTGAGCACGTTGTTCATGAAATGTAAAACATTCACATAAAAGTTCATAAAAAAATTCAAATGGGAGTCAGTTAAATAAATTCTTCAAAAACACTGCGCAAACATATGCATAAAAATCGCAATGTTTTTCAACAATTTATTTAACTGATTTTCAAATTGAATTTTAAGCTGAAATTTTGAGCGAATCACTTCATGACGAACATGTTCATAATATTTCATCAAAAAATGTAACTCGGAAAGCCCTCAAACGGGCTTGGCCACAAAGCGGTTCTGGTCAGTCCGAACTGACAAGAATTGTATATATATGTGTGTGTGTGTGTTTGTATTTTAATATATTAAATTTAAAAATAAAATCAAAGTTATAATTTTTTCATTACGTTCAATTTTTTATTCAACATCTACGAACTACAATTCTAAAATTTTGAAACATCTATACCAGAATTGTTTGTGAACAAATTTAACACTTGCTTTTGATTCATTAAGTGTACGTTAGCGCATAAATGTCCATATTTTCATCTACTTCTCTCATGTAAACTCATGACTCATTGATAGTATTTTGCTAATTTTTCTGTTCTCTCGTGTAAGTGAAAGATTAAATTAGCGTACCCAGGATTTAGAAACTGGCAATTTGTTTTAGTCTAGTGAAAATGTGAATCAAGATATGAAAATTTTACTCCATAAACGATATAACTTTCACGTCTTTCCCCAATTCAAAATTATGTATTATTAATAATCGTTCTACTTTTCCATTGAGCCATTTTGGTACATGGTATTCTCAAATGTCAAATACTTAAATATAATCTCTCTAACCGTTCTTTATTAATTTCTTTGACATGTTATACTCGTATTTGAATGAAAAAAAATGCTAAATATACTTAATTATAGTTTTTTATAAAAAATATAAAAATTCATATGTTGTCCTAAAGTCCTATCTATATGTATTGCCCCGGGCCCATAAAATGTCAGGACTGGACCTGGCTGCAATAATTGTTTGGAAGTGGATATATTGATTAATTCAAATATATGTAAGCGTGTATCGATGGTTTTGGTACAAATATCTAATCTAAAGAAATCTTATCCGTTTATTGCATTATTAATTGTGTCTACCTATATAATATCGTGTAACATTTAAAATAAGAATACAAAGTATAAATATAATGCCTCTCGTTCCAGTAACGCCAATAAATTAGATCAGTTCGGAGTCAGAACATAAAATTTGCAGTCGTGGGAATAAACACTCGCGGAGACCTTTCCTTCCACTTTGGTCTGAGTTGAATGCTGCAAAACCCGAAACCACAACATGAACAAAACAATGTGTGTGTATATATATATAGAAAAATTCTCAGGTCCAGCACCTCCCGATCCGAACACTGTTCGAACACCGCCATTTGGGGTGGTTCCCGGTGGAATTTTTTGATGAATTTTTTTGAGCATGTTTCTCATCAAGTCTAGTTTATTCGTACCAATTCAAATTTCAGCTCAAAATTTGATCTGAAAGGCAGTCAAATAATTCGTTGAAGTTAACTGTGTTTTTCTATGTATAATTTGGCGCAGTTAACTTCAACGAATTATTTCACTGCCTTCCTGATCGAATTTTGAGCTTAAATTTGGTATGGATAAACCAGACTTTATAAGGAACATGCTCAAAAAATTTCATCAAAAAATTGCATCGGGAACCGCCCCTAACGGCGGTGTTCGGACAGAAGTGCTGGACAGGAGAATGACTCTCTCTCTCTATATATATATTATACCGAGAATTTTATGTAAATTAAAAGTGACTCTTAGATGACGAATGAGAATTAAGAGGGATAATAACATCAATAATTAAGTCCAAATTATGGCACTATTATTGTACGTTGACAAAAATGCATCACCGTATATGCAAATATAACAAAGCTTTATCAAATTCCGTAATAAGAATGTGAGTGCGTTATAAAATGTCATGCCGATTTTGACATTTATGAGTGCACGTACACTAGCTCATATGTATACACAAAATATTTGGACATTTCATAAAATGTGGTTTTGTAAGGGTAAAAAGTCAATCCAATTCTTTCATTTTTTAAGTAATGAAATGAAATGCTAAATCTATCATCATATTTCTATGAGAACATGTTTTTTTAATCAACAACTTTGGATGTATATCCAAATATCAAATGGTAGTATATTGAATCCAGGGGAACTAGACACTCGGGAGAAGCAAAAGACACTTACAGCCCACAAATCTCGTGCATCGACTAAGGCCGATGGGCTGAGGCCCAAAATTGGCCAGTCAGCAGTAATGATTGCTTCTGAAGGCCCTCTATTCCATAGCACCACCGCTACCCTTTTATTGCTTAGGGGACCGGCCCAAACCTGCAATTCCCCAAATAAAGACACATTCAGTTCATACACTTCTATCTACGAATAATAAAAATGGACGTTTCTCAAAGTAAGATGAAATATTCTAAAATTCGAAAACAAGAATCCTAGATTTTTCTTTTAATAGGTATTTGTTAATGTTACCTTAAAATCTTTTTTTGTTTTATACTCCAGGGGTGTCTGGGGAAGGGGGCTGGGGGAGTCTAGAGTAATCAGGGCTGAAACTCATTCCATTGAGTTTCAAACTCTTATGTGTCTAGCAGGTTTCGAACTCGAGACCTTCCACTACACACGATAACTCATATGTTACCTTAAAATCATACTGTCATATTTTGAAATTGTTGAGTATTAATATAATGTCATTAATTCAATATGTTTCTAGCTAGACACAAATTACTCTTATTTTGAAAAAAAAAAACAATATCTCTAAATAATTCTATACATTCTTAAAAACAAAACTTGATGATTGAATCTCACCTCCAAATCGCCTTCTTTTTTAACCTTTTTACCTTGGACACCAAGCGGATCTATGCATCAATTTTAAGAAGTAAATAAATGGTTTCAGAGATATACTACAGCAAATCAATCTAATTTAGTAGTATTTAGTATTCTATTAATCAGATATACCTTGATTTACATCAATAACCTCCTTATTGGTTAGGATGTCGAGAGTGGGGTTGTCTATTGATCGAACATCACAACCAATCAGCAATGGTGCCTAATAATAATAGTGATAATACTGTTATTATTATCATGTAAATAAATGTTTTTAACAGAAAGTATGAATACAAATACACAATAGATGATAAGTTTATAATAGAAAAAACAAAGTATGATCATGTACAAAGTATTACTTTTGCCAAAGCCCAAATGCTGAAATGAGAACGGTATTCTTGAGTAGTCATGCCTCCATTTCCTACCTCCAACATGTCAGGATCTAACAACAAATCATATCTTTTTAATTACTACTACTACATATTATTACTACCTCCGTCCCTAAAAGAACTTCCAACTTTCCATTTTCGTCTGTCCCTAAAAGAACTTCATTTTCCCTTTTTGGCAAAGAATTTGTGGTTCACAACATTTCTCTCTCCTCTGCACAACTCTCCATCACACAATTCCCACTTTCTTAATCAGCATGCCACTTTATTTTGGAAGAACATTTAGGGACAGAGGTAGTACTATAGATACATGGAGCAGGAACAAGTTATCACTCTCTATTTTAATGTAATATAACTCACAAAAAATGACGTGTGCACAAAACACCCTTAGTTGTATTTGTACACCACCAATTGCTTTAGCAAAAGAAAGTAATTATATGTGTACACAAACGAATTTGTCTGTATACATATTAGACTGATATTAGTGTACAAAAATATACACTTTTATGTACAAGAATTGCTCAATAACACAAAAAGTATTAGACTGATACTTTGTATTTGAATGAAGGGAAAATCACACTTTTAGTCCCTGAAACAGTCACCATATTGAAATGTCAGATCCATATTTTGGATATTGTAAATGTCACCCCTTAATTCTTCAAATTGCTGTAAATATGATCCTTTGAGGGGAGAAATGTACTCCTCACCCACATTGTACATTTCACCTCTCAAATGATCACATTTACATCAATTTGTACAATTGAGGGATGACATTTACAAACTCGGAAACACGAGTCTGACATTTCAATATGGTGATTATTTGAACGATTAAAAGTGCGATTTTCCCTCGAATGAAATGTTGTATACATAAATGAATGGATATTTACCGTTCCATCCCCCGGGGCCGGCATAAGCTGCCCATTTGTCATTGAGATCAGCCAGAGTTGTCAGGCTGCACCGCCAACAAAAGCAATACTTGTTATGATTATTATTGTAACTATATAGTTTGTATACATAATAAGTACTCCCTCTGCCCATATTTAACTCCGGTTTTGACCGGGTACGAGTTTTAAGATAGTGGAATTTGTGTGGTGGAGAGTTATGCAGAGGAGAGAGAAATGTGTAAGAATGGTTGTGAACCACATATTCTTTAACAAAAAGGGAAAAAGGAAATAAATTTGGGATGGACCGAAAAGGAAAGAATGAAGATAATTTCAGGACAGAGGGAGTACAAATTAAATAGATGTATCTGGCCAGAATATTTACCTAGTCCATGTGTCCTCAATGTCTCCAGTGGTTCTCCAACTATTACCCACAGATTGTGCCCAAGTAGCTGGATTTTCATCTCCCCTATATTGGTAAGCAACTAATTACTCGATCAAAATATCATAGAGTTTTTTACAAAAATATTACCAAAATAAAAATTTACAAAAATATTACCAAAATAAAACTTAAGTTACTACAATCTAGTGTCATGGTAACTTAAGTTCAAAACTTGAACACATGTTACTATGATTTCATTACTACCCTAGTCACATTTTTTTTAAACACTTTTTATTTTAGTAATAATTGTGTAATTATTTCTATCATATACGATAGTATGATTTTTACTCCTTACGAATTTATTCTTTTTTACATTACCGCCTTAATTAACCATATTTAGTTAATTACAGAGTATATGTATAAGGTCTGATTTCGGTGAGAATAGTTCAATTTCTTCTGTGAGAAATGACGACACGAAATGATGCACATTCTAATTCATTGTGGTGCACATTCACCGTTAAGATAGTGCACAATTTAAATTAACAAAAAAAGTTTAATTTCTCTATACCATTACCGCCACATTTCATCTAATACCTCTCCTGACTGTGTTCTTATTTGATCTAATTAAGTTCTATATGTATATGTTACTAAGTTCATTCAAATGTAACAACAATCACATAATATAATAATTCGTATTAGTTTCATCGTGTTGTTTATGGATGTTTTAAACATATTAAAGACAACGAGACATAAATAGTACTCCGTACTACGTATTGGTTTTCAAAAAGATATTCATGTTTTAAAAAAAGACAGATGTACGAACCATTCACACAGAGAGTAAAAGATGGACCTTCCTGAGTTTAGTAGAGCTTTGCTCATTGTTGGATACCTATTATTTCCCACTCAAAACAATTAAATTAATTAATTAAGATGAAATGTATCATAATAGGGAGTATTAAACAATTAAAGTGTGCATAAACTGAACATAAAGAGATTTCAATTTTATCCTTTTACAAGTATGTTTGTACCTCTCTTTTGGACTAATGTTTTGGTTGTTGCAATTGTCATATTTTAGATAATCAATTTCCCAAGAAGCAAAAGTTTTTGCATCTTGCTCCTCATGCCATAATGACCCGGGCATTTGATTGCTACATGTCATATTCCTGTATGTACAAATATATATTATAATAAGCATTAATTCATTCTCATTTTGGAGCAAATAAACTAATAAGAACTTTTGTGTTATGAATTTATGATCATCAATATAAACATACAGGATTATATTATATATACCCGGCGCTAGAGTAAATCCCAAGCTTCAATCCTTTATTATGAACATAATCCGCTAGCGCTTTCATTCCGGATGGAAATTTCGAAGCCTTCGCAACTAGATTGCCCTGTGTTATGTTTTATTGTTACTAGGATTAACTAGCACTACGTACTTATGTTAGTACAAATAAGAAAATTATGAACAATAATAATGTAACTTAGTAACTATATATTAGCCATTATAATTGTGTTCAAAGTTTATAATTAATAACTTGATTCAATCACTATAATGTGAACTTTAAACACAATTATAGTCATTAATAGTTTATTTATTACCACTTTTTAGGAGAAACTAGTGGAAATTTTCTACTTTAATCAGGTTTAAATTAAGATGGTAATAATATAGACAAATATTATAATGTAACGGGCAAGCTAGGGATCGTGAGGATGCACCTGAGAGTCTCTGTTTAGTTCAGCCCAACAATCATCTGAATTAATTAAACAAAGAAATATTATTTCATCCCGGCCTACAATTATGTCTCATCTTTTATGTAGCACCATATTTGTTAAAACTTCACAACCGTGCCACTAAGAATTTAATTAATTATATTTTACTTATAACTAAAAATTTGAATAAATCCAACTTTTGATTATAAATAAAAAGTGTCACGCACTTCCGAAGTTTCCATCGTAGATAGTGTGACGGAAAGTAATTTAAATATGTTTGTGTCATTGTGTGTGCAAATATTTATGTATATAGAAATGAGAACATGAGCTTATAATGATGACAAAATTAGGTAAAACAAGTTATAGATGGAAGATTTACCTAAATTCACATATTTGTATCCCAGGGCCGCAAGTCCAGTTGATACAATTGCATCAGCTAAAAAATGATGCACAAATCAATTAGAATTGTTGGTAGTTTTTGTTGGGTGTGTTTCGGAAAATAAAGGAAATTAATTAAAATTAATTAATTAAATAAAATGACTAGAGAAAAACAAGAAAGGAGATGAATCAGAATTAGTCAAATCTCGTGCTACGCACGATGTCCTTAAAACGTATTTGTTGCCTCCCACGGTGCTAGGAGCGTTGCAACAATCGAGGTGTTTTTAGCTTAAGAAATTCGTGAGGAATGTATTGAACGTTGGATATCAATGAGCATTTCTGTTGGTCCAAAATAGGACGCTCGTAGGCTTTTAGGAAAGCTACGTACGACACTCAAGCAGGAATTAGGAAAGTACGAATATGGAAAGTTAGCCAGAAAAAGCATATCTGTATTTGAAATTCGAATTGCCTTTTATAGGCGATTACAAATGGTAACTGCCGAACATAATAATGACTAAATTAATTACAACATTAATACGGAATTAAACACATAATTAAGTCGCACATTGATTGTTGGCCGTTACTCTTCCTGGCTGGCAGGTCAGCCTGGCTGGCAGGCTGGACGCTTGAGCTCCCCCCCTGCTGGACTGGACGGTGGGCTTCCCGCTAGGCTGGAGGAAGGCTTCTGACCGGGCTGGAGGCAGGCTCCCGGGTAGGCTGGAAGGCAGGCTCCCGGGTAGGCTGGAAGGCAGGCTCCCCGTTGGGCTGGAGGCAGGCTCCCACCTGGGCTGGACCGCAGGCTCCCAGTTGGGCTGGATCGCAGGCTCCCCGCGAGGCTGGTGGTCGGCAGGCTCCTGGCTAGGCTGGAAGGCAGGCTCCCGAGTATGCTGGAAGGCAGGCTCCCCGTTGGGCTGGAGGCAGGCTCCCACCTGGGCTGGACCGCAGGCTCCCAGCTGGGCTGGACCGCAGGCTCCCAGCTGGGCTGGTGGTCGGCAGGCTCCTGGCTAAGCTGGAAGGCCGGCTCCCGAGTATGCTGAAAGGCAGGCTCCCCGTTGGGCTGGAGGCAGGCTCCCACCTGGGCTGGACCACAGGCTCCCAGTTGGGCTGGATCGCAGGCTCCCCGCGGGGCTGGTGGTCGGCAGGCTCCTGGCTAGGCTGGAAGGCAGGCTCCCGAGTATGCTGGAAGGCAGGCTCCCCGTTGGGCTGGAGGCAGGCTCCCAGCTGGGTTGGACCGCAGGCTCCCAGCTGGGCTGGACCGCAGGCTCCCAGCTGGGCTGGACCGCAGGCTCCCAGCTGGGCTGGTGGTCGGCAGGCTCCTGGCTAGGCTGGAAGGCCGGCTCCCGAGTATGCTGGAAGGCAGGCTCCCTGTTGGGCTGGAGGCAGGCTCCCACCTGGGCTGGACCGCAGGCTCCCAGCTGGGCTGGTGGTCGGCAGGTTCCTGGCTAGGCTGGAAGGCAGGCTCCCCACTGGGCTGGAAGGCAGGCTCCCGGGTAGGCTGGACCGCAGGCTCCCAGTTGGGCTGGACCGCAGGCTCCCGGGTAGGCTGGAAGGAATGCTCCCGGGTAGGCTGGACCGCAGGCTCCCAGTTGGGCTTCCGCTCCTTGATTGCCCTGGTTGGTTGGGCTGACTCGAGCTCTGGGTTGCTGGGCTTGGGCCCGCTGGTCCAAGTTCGGGGCCTGGGCCGATTAGGCTCTGGGCCTAGTCCCATAACCCCATCACGAGTCCCCCACTCCCTTAGTCGAGTAGTAGACTCGGCTAAGAGGGAGTAGTTTAAGTCAGCTGCCGATTTAAAAATATTCACATATCAAGGAACCATAATTGCGGATTATGTGAATCCCGGAGTTTATGGAAATTCCCAAATTAAATCAGGCTCCCCAAAAAGGCTCCAAATAAATTTCTTCAGCATCCTAGCACTCCAGCCGTCAATTTTCTTCCGGACATCAGAATCCAGGTCAGCTCCCGAAAATTCCTTTCCTTTTCTTTTCTTTCCTTTTCTTTTCTTTCCTTTTTTTCTTTTCCTTTCTTTTCTTTTCTTCCTTTCTTTTCTTTTCTTTCCTTTTCTTTTTCTTTCCTTTCTTTTCTTTTTCCTCTCTCTCCTGGACCCTGCGCGTCTGCTTCCTCGCGTCTCCCCAGCGCAGCGCCGCAGTCAACCCAGTTGACCGACGCCAAATCAGCTGTCCAACGTCGTCCAGGGAGTTGGCGGCTTCCGGCTGGTTGAACTGCCTCAAGGTTGTTGATGTGTCTCTCAGGCCGGCGGAATGGACCTGAGTCGTTCAAATAGTAAGGAAGTTCACATGGCATTTCTCAGGTCACGGACAAATTCCTCCAAATGACGCCTCCAGGCAACCGGCGAGCTGCCTTCCCGGTCGGTGGTGCGGCTCCCAAACTGACGGTGTAGCTACCGGGTCAGGCTTGATTAATCCCATATCTTCATCTTGTTTTCCTCCACGTCGAACAGTTCTTCGCGGGTCAGCGGCGAAGCCAAAGCAGTCGGTGGTCAGTGCTCAACTCCTAGGCCACCCGATGTCTCAGAACCCAGGTCGGTGAGACAGCTTCGTAGGTAAGCAACGTTGCTGATGGGTCGACGGCTCTCAGGGCGGTTGTCTCCGAGATGAACATCAATAGGCTTCCACTTTACCTTTCTTGATTTTTTTATGATGATTTGTCATTGTTTGTAGAGAGCTCTTTTACAATTCTGACAAGGCTAAGGTTGTGGTGGCAGGCGGCTGGGCAGCAGGGCGGCCAGGCGGCCAGGCGGCCGGGCGACAGGGTGGCTACGGGCAGCCAGGCGGCAGTGCGGCAAAGCGGCAAGGCGGCTGGGCATCTGGGCGGTCAGGCGGCCGAGCGGCAGGGTGGCCAGGCGGCAGGGCGGCCAGGCGGCCAGGCGGCCAGGCACTTGCATAGTTTCAAGCCTCAACCACGTTTTCACATGTGCTTGAACAAATGTGATGAGAAAGAGATAACTCCATTCAACTTAGCGACCATCTGTCTCGAAGAGGATGACCATCTAGCGAGGACAACGCCACAGTGAATTTCGATAGTATTTCTTGAGATTTCTAGTGACTCTCATGCCCGGATCATTATACTTGATGGCCATGGGAACATCCGGCCATGACTGTTGCACCTTTTTTTTGTAGCTTGTAGCCGCCATATGTAAAATTCGAATGAATATTACCTTTTAATTCATATGTTTCCTTTTCTATACTTTGCATTACGAATACTTAGCAATTTATTCGGGGATCTGGCTTCTCTAACCTCCCGGGGGCGGTTAGGCTGGGGTGGCCGACCCTATCCGTGCCCCTCCTAGTTGGATAGAAGTGATCTGTTCGCTATTGATATGGAATCAACAAATAAGCGACTTGTTTGGCCAGCGATGTCGGACATTGAACCGACGAGGAAGACCCTTAGGTCGGTATCCTGAACGTTCATGACCCGGGGGTCAGTCCTACTGTCACTTTAACCCATCCAGTTTGCCCGGACTTGGGGAATAATCTGGTTACTCCCGCATGGATAGCCAAACAACAGGGGCGGACCCTGCATGATCCACCAGAACGAACCCGCACCGCCAACTCAGGGATGACGAGAGTGCGAGCTGCTTGGCCAGCGATGTTAGGCGGTGAGCACTCGAAAAGACCCGGAGGTCAGCATCCTGAGTACCCTCGACCCAGAGGTCGGCCCTACCATCGCCTCGACTGTCGCGGCTAGCTCTTTACTTTAGAAAATTGCCCGGATTCTTGAAAATCACTTGGCTATTTTTGGTTAAAGAGCCTGGCCGAGGTCGGCCAAACACCGAGGGGGGGCATAGTACCTTTTTTTTGTTTTTTTTTGTCGCCGCCGCCCTTTATTGCTAAGTGAGGTCGGACCTCTTTTGATGACAAAATATCGCTAGCAAAGTATATTGAATTCATGATGTGGGCGGACCACATGAAGAATTACAAATTGTAATCCCGGGCTCGGAGCACAGGAGTTTACAAAGAAAAGTGAAACTTCGATTTTCTACTGGTAAAACTTCATCAGGTGCTCGGCATTCCAGACGCGGTCTACCAACCGGCCTGTTGTTGTCTTCAACTTGTATGTCCCAGGGCCGATCACTGCGTCAACCACGTAAGGGCCTTCCCACTTGACGGAGAGCTTACCTCCCTCTGTCGGCCTGCTGGCCTTCCTACGTCTTAGGACATAATCACCGACGTCAAAACTCCGGGGTCGGGCTCGGCTGTCTTGGTACGCCTTGACTTGTCGTCGATAGTTTTCCGCTTTGATGAAGGCACGGTCTCTTCTTTCCTCAATGAGGTGGAGCTCGGCTCGGAGCCTCTCCTCATTGTTGGCTGGTTCAAACTCTTCCACTCGCCGGCTGGGAACTACGGCCTCGAACGGTGCCCTCGCCTCAAAGCCATAACACAAGGCAAAGGGGGTCTCTCCTGTTGCCTTCCTTGGGGTTGTTCTGAAGGTCCAGAGTATATTGTTCAACTCCTCCACCCAGGAAGTCCCGAGGGCCTCCAACTTCTTTTGCAGTCCATCGACGATCGTCCGGTTGGTGTTTTCCACCTGTCCATTTGCCTGGGGGTAGCAGACCGCAACTCGGCTGGATTCTACGCCCCACTCTGCACAGAATTGTCGGAAGGCTTCGCAGTCAAACTGCCTTCCGTTGTCGGAGATTATTTGGAGGGGAACCCCAAACCGGCGGAAAGTATTCTTCCATATGAACTTCCTACATTGGAGATGTGTGATGCTGGCAAGCGGCTCGGCCTCAACCCACTTCGTAAAGTAGTCCACTGCGACGATGACAAACTTCCGGTTTCCCGACCCGGTTGGTAAGGGACCGACCAGGTCGACACCCCATCTTGTGAATGGAAGGGCGGTGCTGATCGGTGTGTACATCGTTGCTGGTCGGCCGGGGCTCTTCTGGAACTTCTGGCACGTCTCGCATTTCCTTGCATAGTCAGCGCAATCCTTCATTATTGTTGGCCAAAAGTACCCCTGGAGGACGACCTTCCTAGCTAACGTGCCTGCCCCCTGATGGGCGGAGCATACGCCCCCATGGAGTTCAGAGACGATCAT